TGAAATTTTAATTGAAAGATTACCATTTGATTTTAGAAAGGGCGATAACAAGAGTTGTAGCAATCGCATGATTAGTCACTTAAGCTGGTGTTCACAGCTGGTTTGCTCAAATCATGTGGATAAAAAGGCGGATAAAATCTATTGCAGTTTACGGCTGGACAATTTATATATATAATTCTCTTCTTGGAGACGTTAGAAAACAAGCTGTAAGCGCGCCTAGCAGTCCCCTCTCTTCCTCTCTATGCATATCGCAACCACCCTCACCCCACTTGGTCTGGTGAGCTGTAGTTCACGCTAATTGTTTACAATCGTAGAGCCGGGTTTAGTGACGCCTATAAGGGGCAGATAATTTAGTTAGAAACTATTTTAAACTTGGGTGGGGGATAGAGTGTAACTAAGAGGTGGCTGCTTTTACGGGGTGGGGGGAAAGGAGAGTCTTAGTGTTTTAAAGCAATTTTTTTCAGTGGCAGCATTGGTACTGTCGAATTCACAAATTATGAATTACTGAAAAGTAGAAAATAAAACTAAATAGCGGCGTATGATACGCAGCGGGTCGGCTCGTTGTATATATTATAACTGCGTTACATCTAGCTGTGTAGAGGTGGTCATCGCACTGTTTCTTGTGTGCTCTTAATTGTAATATCCAATTATAAAAAAAGTAATATCCAAGGAGATCAGCTGTCAACTTGTCATACCCAATATAGGCCATTAACTCAGCATGCTTTTCTTTCTCGATTTACTTCCATATCCTTTATCCAACCTACGAGCCAGCAATAGTTTGATGTTGGATTTGTCTCTCCAATGTGGGATGCTGTGACCAGCTATCGGGTCTCATCTACCAACTCTTCGGTTTAGCAACCATGAGGTACCCCGACCCCCGGGCCGTTATCGTGTTAACACTGGTTAGAATACCACTTCCGGTTACTAGAAATCGCTCAAAAACTTAACCAATAGTACGACCTAATATTTTGAATCACTTATATGTAGAATAGACTTGAAAAGTTGGTTCCAAATGGATCTCAATTTTTTTTTGTCAGATATTTTTTTAAACCAAATTTTAATATTTTATAACATTTGTGTAATAAGTATAAAATTACGTCCGGTTTCATTAAGGCTAGAAACAGTCAAATATTTAATTACTAGTAATACAATAGTAATTTAGCTAACTCTTTTATTTTTAATTTGGATAAGTGGAGTCAGGGTGTTGTGGTGATTGGGGATGTTATATTCTTTAATATAAGCACATTACTACGCTATTCAGCTTAGATAACTATTGTGTATTGTTGTCATGGAAAACAGTTGTTCTAGCTTTTTTTGTTTTACTCCTTTTTACTCTCCCTGGCCATTCCGGTTGACTTCAAGGAGAGGTTAAGGGCAGGTTTGAAAATATTTGAATTGATAAAATAATTGTTAGATTTAAAAAAAAATTAGTATGATTACATAGACTTTCAGGCCTTTTGTGTAAACCTATCTGAAAGTGTACTCAAGTTATCGGTTTTTGAGAAGCCAGATATACACCGTATATCACTTCCGGTTTACAGAAATCGATAAAAAGTTGATTGAAACTTAATACTTAGATATATATGTAAAACGTGTCCCACCTAATTTAATCGGTTTTATTTTTACTCGGGAAGGCATTAAAGGTCAAAGGTTGTCACTGTCTTGATTTCACTCCCTTTCTTTCCCCTTTCGTTGATGCCACGTTTCCTGAGTGTGTGTACCATTAGTTGTGTGAATATCACTCACAAGGTTGTTATTGTGTGAATATCACACACCAGGTTGTTATTTGAATGAATATCACTCACTAGATTGTTATTTGTGTGAATATCTTTAGGTTGTTATTTGTGTGAATATCACTCACTAGGTTGTTATTTGTGTGAATATCACTCACTAAGTTGTTATTTGTGTGAATATCACTCACTAAGTTGTTATTTGTGTGAATATCTTTAGGTTGTTATTTGTGTGAATATCACTCACTAGGTTGTTATTTGTGTGAATATCACTCACTAGTTTGTTATTTGTGTGAATGTACCCCTGTTGTTCCCCCAAATCTGGTCAATTATGCATGAATGTATCTACCCTCCGCCGCTCACTAATTAACATGTGTTAATGCAGCAATCTGCGCATGGCTAATTAATGGACGTCACTCATCAGGTTGACACGTGACACAGAAACTACCAGAACACACAGATACACATGGATATAAATAGACATGAATGTATCAGAGGCGTAGACAGGGGTGGACAGAGGGTGGGACAGGGGTTGGGACAGGGGTGGGACATGGGAGTAGGACAGGGGGTTTGACAGGGGAGTGGTCTCACTTCCATGAATATTTTCAGTAAACTGGCATGTATTATGAGGTCAATTTAACTACAATTTAACCTAAGTCCCCTATGTTATAATAAATACCAGTCACTACTCAAAAGCTACGAAGTGAAACCATCAACAATGGGGAATTACGTGTCATTTAATTACCTAATGTTTTCCTTACCACATGGATATTTCTTCGACCTCTCTGGGCCGTCCCCTCACAGTGTCTGTTTTATTTAGCGTCATCACGTCTGCTGTTTACGTCATACGTGGTGTACGGTGACCGTCCAACAATTATCTCTCCAGTCCTGGGTCAGTCTGTCCGGCTGATTCCAGGAGTAACCGTTGCTTGTGGTGCCAGACACGTAACGTAAAGGTCGTGTGAGAAAAATACTGACAGGAAGGATAGCAGTAAGGTGGTCATATTTTGCTCACGTCTGCGAAATCGTGATCGATAAATGATTAAGCTCTGTCTTGGCTCAATGGTATTTTAAATTGTCATCGGGTTTTAGTAGCTTTAACATTTCTGATTGATTTGAGTTGACTGCGTTTAATCGGCGTAACGCAGATACACAAAAAAAAAAAACCTTAGGTGAACAGAGCTTGACATTTTGTGGGCTTTGAGAAAAAGGAAGGCAGCTGATAAAATTAATACATAAAAAAACTTTTCCCTGCACACGCCTCGACCCTACACCTGGGTGTAGCCCCTGGTTTATCTGGTCACGTGACTGACAGAAACCTGTTGTTACCTCAAGGTGAGTACATCACTGGTGTTGTCCTGTACACGATGCTAGACCACAGGGTGGGGACGGGAAGCCGAGGGTCGTTTATAAAACACTCAAGTTTTGATACTTCATAGAACCCAAACACGGGGACATAACTCCACAGAACCTAAACACGGGGACATAACTCCACAGAACCCAAACACGGGGACATAACTCCACAGAACCCAAACACGGGGACATAACTCCACAGAACCTAAACACGGGGACATAACTCCACATAGCCTTAACACGGGGACATAACTCCACAGAACCCAAACACGGGGACATAACTCCACAGAACCCAAACACGGGGACATAACTCCACAGTACCTAAACATGGGGACATAACTCCACAGAACCCAAACACGGGGAAATAACTCCACAGAACCCAAACACGGGGACTTAACTCCACAGAACCTAAACACGGGGACATAACTCCACAGAACCCAAACACGGGGACATAACTCCACAGAACCCAAACACGGGGACATAACTCCACAGAACCCAAACACGGGGACATAACTCCACAGAACCCAAACACGGGGACATAACTCCACAGAACCCAAACACGGGGACATAACTCCACAGAACCCAAACACGGGGACATAACTCAACAGAACCCAAACACAGGGACATAACTCTACAGAACCCAAACACGGGGACATAACTCCACAGAACCCAAACACGGGGACATAACTCCACAGAACCCAAACACGGGGACATAATTCCACAGAACCCAAACACGGGGACATAACTCCACAGAACCCAAACACGGGGACTTAACTCCACAGAACCCAAACACGGGGACATAACTCAACAACACTCAAACACGGGGACATAACTCCACAGAACCCAAACACGGGGACATAACTCAACAACACTCAAACACGGGGACATAACTCCACAGAACCCAAACACGGGGACATAACTCAACAGAACCCAAACATGGGGACAAAACCGAAAAAGGGGACATAACTCCATATAACCCGGGTAAAGGACGCTGTGAGAAAGTCCAGATGTTTGACCCAGGCAGGGGGGGAGCAGACGGTAGTTATCGCCCCTGTCCTAACTGCTAATGACGTCACCAAATCAGCTCTCGGCAGCTAAAGCTAAAACATTTACAAGACTGTCTAAGCTCAATAATAGGTGTGGGGTTAGTGTGGGTTGTGTGGTTAGTTCGGTGAGTGTGGGTTGTGGGGTTAGTGTGGTTAAAGTGGGTTGTGTGGTTAGTTTGGTGAGTGTGGTTAGAGAGGGTTGTGTGGTTGGTGTGGTGTGGGTTGTGTGGGTTGTGTGGTTAGTTTGGTGAGTGTGGTTAGAGAGGGTTGTGTGGTTGGTGTGGTGTGGGTTGTGTGGTTGGTGTGGTGTGGGTTGTGTGGTTGGTGTGGGTTGTGTGGGTTGTGTGGGTTGTGTGGTCTTAGGCTAAGTGACAACCGTGTAAGGCTATGTGACAACCCAGTAATAGGCTTCCGACAGCCCTCCCCCTCCCTGCGCCCACATACCACAGTGTATTTATCAAGCACAACACTTTGTTGTTAACGATCGACACTTAAAACATTGACATCTGTTCGCATTCTTCACTTTATTTACAACCCCACTCCCTCCCTCCCTTCCCACCCCTCCCATCCTTATACGAACACAATTTAAAACGTGTGACCCCGCCAATTTAATTAATTTAATTGTGATTATAACCAAATAACAAACACCGAGGTCGAAATATTTGGTCTCATATTGATCAGTTCCCTGACTTTCAACCCAAAATGGAGCCACTCCCAGCAAGGCCTATAATCAAGTACAAGCTGTTACAAGAATTACTTCCCCTCATTATTCCCACTTTCAGTTTCCGCCATGAAAACAAGTCAATACGAGCCGGCAGACGGCAAAGTTTGCCGACATCTGACGAATATAAACTAGGTTGCTTATATTTAACGGCTGAGCAACTCTGTCACACCCGCTGTGGATTATGCTTCAAATCATTTTAGTCGCAGAATTCTTGAAAATCTGGCCAAAAGTAAGTCACTTCTAATTGAGTTACGGCTTTAGCTTCGTTTATCGGCACGCAAAAATAGCTTTTGCGAAACTCTGCTTGACTTTTCTGTAATCTAAAATACAAAAACAAAACGCCAATTTATAAAAGTGCGCATGGTCCAATTTTTCAGGTCGTTTCGGATATTTTTAGCCAAAGAGAAGTTAGTTTGTAACCGGAATTACGGCTCATAATTCAAAGCGATTAAACCTCGAATCGCAATTTTTTTTTTGACTAAATATTACATAAACACGCGTGACAGTCAACTTTAAAAATGTTTCTCTTAAGTTTATAATTCTCAGTAACTTGAGCGTGTCAACCAGAGTAAATTGTTTTCTATCTGTTGTCACGCTTAAATTTTTCAATTTTTCACATCACTCATGGAATGTTCTTCCAATTTCGAGTTCAAGAAATAAGTTCGTGGAAATATCACACTATTACATCCATGTTGATTTATAGGATAAAAATAAATTTGCATGTGTTTTAGAGCTAAAATAGGGTAGCATCATCATAGGAAAAAAAAAACATTAACATCCGAGTGAACTCAATGACACCAGGCTATTTTTGGACACAGATCAGCATAAAAATAAACTCATGTGTCTGATTCGACAATTATTTTTTAAGTGTTGCCCATAAAACTTGAAGCTTGAACTCTAGAAATGTACACGATCATTAAGTGAAGAGACCATCAATAAAAAATTAATTTATCCACAATCATTGAGGAAGAGACAAAAAATTAATTGAAGAAAAACTCGACATGAACAGAATGGGCGCGGGGAGAAAGATGGCGCCTTGTATCAGCTCAAGACGTTCTTGTCAGCAGACGGAGAACACACTTCAGCAGACCTAAGACGGAATGGGGGGGGGGGGGGGGGGTAACGGGACAGGGTGATTTTTCCTCTGTTGTGTTGATGTCTTGACATGCGGCTAACAATTCATTCGGTCGCGTTTAAACACAACACCAAATGTTAGGACATTCAGTTTGGCGAGAACAACAGCCTCCATGGCATTCAAAATGTCCAACAACAATCACAGCGTTAAGGGCATTCAAAATGTTGCACAAATCTAGGGACATTTGTAAAAGATGGCCGAGAACTGTCATTTGTTAATTTCATTTGTTAATTTGTTAATTTTTCTTTTTTTTTTTGTTAATTTTTATTCTTGATTTTGATAATCCGTATTGTTTTTTTTTGGAACATCTTCCTTCTCTAATGCTTTATCTACGATCGTTCTTATGTGAGCCTTCGTGTGTCCTGTTCTTGGTGTGTCCTGTTCTTATTATGGTGTGGGTTGTGAGGTTGGTGCGTGTTTTGGGGTAAGCGTAATTAGTGTGGGGTATGTGCTTATCTTAGTGCGTCCTGACCTTGGTGTGTCCTGACCTTCGTGTGTCCTGACCTTCGTTTGACCTTCGTGTGTCCTGTCCTTGGTATGTTCTTATCTTGGTGTGCCTTGAACTTCGTGTGTCCTGCTTTCAGTGTGTCGTTATTTCCGTGTGTCCTAGCTTAGTTTGTCGGTGCGTACTGATCCTGGTGTGTCCTGATCTATGTGTGTCGTAACGTTGGCGTGCGTAGCTTTAATGTGTCCTAATATTAATGTATCTGTGTTGACATTTTAAAATTTTTATCAAGCTAAGATACAAGTTTTAGTTGCTAGCTAGAGCTAAGATACAAGTTTTAGTAGTTAGCTAGAGCTAAGATACAAGTTTTAGCAGCTAGCTAGAGCTAAGATACAAGTTTTAGCAGTTAGCTAGAGCTAAAATACAAATTTTAGCAGCTAGCTAGAGCTAAGATACAAGTTTTAGTAGCTAGCTAGAGCTAAGATACAAGTTTTAGTAGCTAGCTAGAGCTAAGATACAAGTTTTAGCAGCTAGCTAGAGCTAAGATACAAGTTTCAGCAGCTAGCTAAAGCTAAGATACAAGTTTTAGCAGCTAGCTAGAGCTAAGATACAAGTTTTAGCAGCTAGCTAGAGCTAAGATAAAAGTTTTAGCAGCTAGCTAGAGCTAAGATACAAGTTTTAGTAACTAGCTAGAGCTAAGATACAAGTTTTAGTAACTAGCTAGAGCTAAGATACAAGTTTTAGTAACTAGCTAGAGCTAAGATACAAGTTTTAGTAACTAGCTAGCGCTAAGATGCACGTTTTAGTAGCTAGCTACAGCTTAGATACAAGTTTTAGTAGTTAGATAGAGCTAAGATACAAGTTTTAGTAGATAGCTAGAGCTAAGATACAAGTTTTAGTAGTTAGCTAGAGCTAAGATACAAGTTTTAGCAGTTAGCTAGAGCTAAGATACAAATTTTAGCAGCTAGCTAGAGCTAAGATACAAGTTTTAGTAGCTAGCTACAGCTAAGATACAAGTTTTAGTAGCTAGCTAGAGCTAAGATACAAGTTTTAGCAGCTAGCTAGAGCTAAGATACAAGTTTCAGCAGCTAGCTAGAGCTAAGATACATGTTTTAGTAGCTAGCTAGAGCTAAGATACAAGTTTTAGCAGCTAGCTAGAGCTAAGATAAAAGTTTTAGCAGCTAGCTAGAGCTAAGATACAAGTTTTAGTAGCTAGCTAGAGCTAAGATACACGTTTTAGCAGCTAGCTAGAGCTAAGATACAAGTTTTAGTAGCTAGCTAGAGCTAAGATACAAGTTTTAGCAGCTAGCTAGAACTAAGAAGTAACTAAAATCTGTTTTTATTGTTCAACAGACTAGTAAATAATATCTTAGTTAAACTATCATTAATTCTGTTACTTGAATACTTATAAATTAAAATCGATTTTATTTTTATAAACATCCTTGAAATATTTTGTTTGCAACGTTTTTATAATGGTCTACAAGTTGATGCAGGCTATGTGGTGGCTATAATTAGACAAACTTGTCAATCAGATCTTTAAATAAACCTGATTCTTTAACACCATGTATTGGGATGTGTAGCACCATATATTTTGATGTGTAGCACCATATATTATGGTGTATCTTGCACTACATATTATGATATGTGTAGACCATATATTATGATATGTGCATACCATGTGTTGTAATGTGTGTAGTGTAGACTATATATTATGATGTGTGTAGCACTACATATTATATGTGCATACCATATGTTGTGATGTGTGTAGCAGAAGGCGGAGGGAAAGGTGTATACTGGCAACATATGTTAGTCAGTCATCGTTGACGCGATTAGTCATGCGGAACGGCAAATGCGCGATGGATAAAAACAAAATTGTGACGCGAAAACATAAATCAATATTAATTAAACCAATTTAACCTGATTAAACCGATTAAAACTTAAAATGACCATTCAACGAAACAGTAAGTTATTTTGAATGAGGATTATAATATGAGACGTGATATTGTTAAAATCGTTTTTAAAAGTATTAAATTACATTGGTATCATATTCATCAACTATAAATAATAGGGTGCACGTTGGTCATGGACGTTAAAGATTTAATCGAAACAAAAAAAACTGTGTATTCTATATCAAGGCTAACTATTTATTTAAGGAAAGAGACTTGATTTAGGTGAAGGGGTGGGTAGGAGCTATGGAGGGGGAGGGGGGACCTACAGGTGGGGGAGGCATATAGTGTCTTAATACTCCAATGTAACAATTTTTTCTATACAGATCCCGAAATACACTACATATATTTAAAGTGTTAACATCACTTTTCCCCCAAACGTTGTTCAGATAATGACAAGTTTAATTCAGATAATGACACGTTTGATTCCGAAATGTACAAAATTACTTCATATAATAAGAAGTTTACTTCAGATGATGACAAGCTTAATTCAGATAACCGCACGGTTATTCATATAGTGACAAGTTTGATTCAGACAATGAGAAGTTTAATTTAGATAAAGAAAACTTTGGTTCAGATAATGAGAAGTTTGATTTAGATAAAGAAAACTTTGGTTCAGATAATGAGAAGTTTGATTTAGATAAAGAAAACTTTGGTTCAGATAATGAGAAGTTTGATTTAGATAAAGAAAACTTTGGTTCAGATAATGAGAAGTTTGATTTAGATAAAGAAAACTTTGGTTCAGATAATGAGAAGTTTGATTTAGATAAAGAAAACTTTGGTTCAGATAATGAGAAGTTTGATTTAGATAAAGAAAACTTTGGTTCAGATAATGAGAAGTTTGATTTAGATAAAGAAAACTTTGGTTCAGATAATGAGAAGTTTGATTTAGATAAAGAAAACTTTGGTTCAGATAATGAGAAGTTTGATTTAGATAAAGAAAACTTTGGTTCAGATAATGAGAAGTTTGATTTAGATAAAGAAAACTTTGGTTCAGATAATGAGAAGTTTGATTTAGATAAAGAAAACTTTGGTTCAGATAATGAGAAGTTTGATTTAGATAAAGAAAACTTTGGTTCAGATAATGAGAAGTTTGATTTAGATAAAGAAAACTTTGGTTCAGATAATGAGAAGTTTGATTTAGATAAAGAAAACTTTGGTTCAGATAATGAGAAGTTTGATTTAGATAAAGAAAACTTTGGTTCAGATAATGAGAAGTTTGATTTAGATAAAGAAAACTTTGGTTCAGATAATGAGAAGTTTGATTTAGATAAAGAAAACTTTGGTTCAGATAATGAGAAGTTTGATTTAGATAAAGAAAACTTTGGTTCAGATAATGAGAAGTTTGATTTAGATAAAGAAAACTTTGGTTCAGATAATGAGAAGTTTGATTTAGATAAAGAAAACTTTGGTTCAGATAATGAGAAGTTTGATTTAGATAAAGAAAACTTTGGTTCAGATAATGAGAAGTTTGATTTAGATAAAGAAAACTTTGGTTCAGATAATGAGAAGTTTGATTTAGATAAAGAAAACTTTGGTTCAGATAATGAGAAGTTTGATTTAGATAAAGAAAACTTTGGTTCAGATAATGAGAAGTTTGATTTAGATAAAGAAAACTTTGGTTCAGATAATGAGAAGTTTGATTTAGATAAAGAAAACTTTGGTTCAGATAATGAGAAGTTTGATTTAGATAAAGAAAACTTTGGTTCAGACAATGAGAAGTTTGATTTAGATAAAGAAAACTTTGGTTCAGATAATGAGAAGTTTAATTCAGATATGTACACATTCATTTCAGATAATCACAAAATTACTTCAGATAATGAGAATTTTAATTCAGATGATGACAAGTTTAATTCAGATAAAGAAAACTTTGGTTCAGATAATGAGAAGTTTGATTTAGATAAAGAAAACTTTGGTTCACAGATAATGAGAAGTTTAATTTAGATAAAGAAAACTTTGGTTCACAGATAATGACAAGTTTAATTTAGATAAAGAAAACTTTGGTTCAGATAATGAGAAGTTTAATTTAGATAAAGAAAACTTTGGTTCAGATAATGACACGTTTAATGCAATTTTAAAACGGATGTCAGCTGACACTTTAAACAGTGAGAGAAACTTTATGAAACTGTTTGGGTTAATGACCTGTTAGCGTTAGAGATGACTTATTAGTTTATTTTTTGAGCGATAGAGATGACTTATGAGTTTATTATTTGAGTGATAGAGATGACTTATGAGTTTATTATTTGACCGTTATAGATGACTTATGAGTTTATTATTTAAGCGATAGAGATGACTTATGAGTTGATCAGTTGAGCGTTAGAGATGACTGGATTTTGGCTTCTTTTAGAAATCTCTGACGACTTTGAATGTATTATTCTACCAACATTTAGGTATATTTTTCTGGCGACCTTTTAAAATATTTATCTGGCAACTTTTATCTGTCATCTTTCTCGACTTTTCAACATATTTATCAGGCAAACTTTTTAAATATTATGTGTGGCTTCTTCTCAATATATTTATCTGGCAGCTTTTAGATATCCTCTCTAGCGACCTCTCAACAAGATATATCTGGTATCTTTCAGACAGTCTCTCTGGCGACTTTTCAACATATTTATCTGGCAGCTCTGATTGTCTTCGCACGCGATGATCGACCAGTGTAATCGATATCCTTAATTGAGCCAAATTTCGCCCCGTCCGGGCTGGAATACTAAGTTTCTTGACAGACAAAGGCGGACTAATCCTGCCAATAATAGATTACATAGCCGGCCAGAGGCCTCAGGCAGCAGAGTGGTCAGAATCAACACGGCGAGCTACAAAAACAAAACTTTTTAACTTCTCGTATACGGAAATAGAGGAAGTACTGTAGTCGTGCGAAAATCGTTTTACACCTCCCTGTATCTGTCTGTTTCTGTGTATGTGAATACGATAAATAAAGTACCGTTTTAGTTAGGTTGACAATATTTCATATAAAATTATAGTATCCAATCTGTTGTTTTCTAACAACTGTGAGTGATTTCCGGTAGCCGGTAATGGCACTTACTCTACTTCCGGTTTCTCAAAATAACATACGTACCACTATGTTAGGTGGAGGAAATTTCAATTAATAGTATTAAATGATCTGCGCAGGTTTCCATAAACTTTTCAACTATTTCCGGTAACCGGTAATTACTATTTTATTTGTGTTGGAACTCTATGACTCTAAAATTTCACTGTGTAAGATTTTATGTTTGGATTACTTTCACATTTCATACATGAAATTTCGTCTACCTGACTAGTCTTTAACTATTGCTCGCCCCCCCCCCCCCCCCCCCCTCGCCCCCGAAATTTCAAGAGCATCTCCCCGAGAAAAATGTCTTAAAGAAACATTGCATCTATATCTACAATTTAGATGCAAAACTGTCACCTAAAAATAATCGTTTTCAAATTTTAGGGGAGTTTAAATTTGATCATTTGTGTCTGTTTAAAAAATAAACCGGGAGTGATCTCCCCTAAACTTTCTCGAATATTCTTATATAAAATAACAGGGAATGGAAACTCGGGCTATAGACATGATTTTTAATCCATTTTAAATACTTAAAGTTTTAAAAATAGAATAAAATCTCGTAGACAAATTAATTGCACACCAAGTGAACGCAAATAAAAAAAGCGCATAATAGTGCGCAATATTATTAGTACTTTTAAAATTTACATTAGTTTTTTGAGAAATCGGAAGTAGCGTAAATTACTACTTCCAGTCAACGGAAATTACTCAAAATTTAACAGAAGGTAGAGAATTAGATCTTTTACTTACATGTGAAATTTCATTTATCTATCTGAAATAGTACTCAAGTTATAGGCTTTTAAAAAATTCAAAGTAGGAAAAGTACCACTTCCGGTTATCGGAAATCGCTCAAAAGTTGATACGGATCTACGATTTTGATAAAATACTTATATATGAAATTTCATCAACCTAGCTGTAACGGTACTCAAGTTATCGTGTTTACACACGGACACACACACAGACAGACACACACACACACAGACATACGGACAAGATTGCAAAATTATGTTTTTCCGTATCAGTGAGGTGTAAAACGTCGAGATTTGTAAAAATCTCGATTTTTTTTTTTGCACGATTACAATACTTTCTCTATACTTCGTATATACGAGAAAGTAAAAAGTGGGTGCTATCTTTAATTTTTTTTTGTTTATTTTCACACGGAAGAAAGTGCGAGGGAATTTTTTTTTCTTGTTGTTGTCAAAGAAAATAAGGGAATGACGTGAAAAGGAGAAGGATAGAGAAACAGGGCGACTGCCCAGTTTGTAGCGAAAGGGGGGGGGGGGGGGGGAGGACTACCCAGTTTGTAGAGAAAGGGGCGACTACCCAGTTTGTAGAGAAAGGGGCGACTACCCAGTTTGTAGAGAAAGGGGCGACTACCCAGTTTTTAGAGAAAGGGGCGACTACCCAGTTTGTAGAGAAAGGGGCGACTACTCAAATTGTAGAGAGGGAGGGGGGACTACCCAGTTTGTAGAGAAAGAGGCGACTACTCAAATTGTAGAGAGGGAGGGGGGACTACCCAGTTTGTAGAGAAAGGGGCGACTACCCAAATTGTAGAGAGGGAGGGGGGACTACTCAAATTGTAGAGAAAGGGGCGACTACCCAGTTTGTAGAGAGAGAGGGGCGACCACCCAGTTTGTAGAGAAAGGGGGGGGGGGACTGCCCAGTTTGTAGAGAAAAGGGCGAGTACCCAGTTTGTAGAGAAAGGGGCGACTACCCAGTTTGTAGAGAAAGGGGTGACTACCCAGTTTGTAGAGAAAGGGACGGCAACCGAGCTTGTAAAGAAAAGGACGACAACCCAGCGTGTACCCTGCTAAAAGTGGCCGGGATAAATGTAATATTCTGTGACTGGCCACATCCCGGCAATACGACCGGAACTGATTAGACTTGCCGGTTAGAAATTAACAGTTGTCTCTCCACGGAGGTCTCGAGTTGTCCCCTTCTGATGACGTTACAGTCCTGGGCTATTTTTAGACTCCCCTTTTTGGGTAGCGTCTCCACAATAAAGTACAGCACGTCTCAGAAAAGGGTTCAAAGATGTGTCCATTTTTGTCCCAATTGTTCAAAAATGTGTCCATTTATTTCCTAATTTCCAATTAATTTACTTTCTACGTAATCCGTTAGGTCGTAAACAACCGAATTAAAACATTTTCCCATTATTCAAACTTCAAAACCATTTGGTATTACGTAAGTCTTAAGTTATTTATTTCCACGACTCTGATGATTATTTAAAGACCAATAATTTTCTCTGGGGAAGAAATATTTTCCTGGCAGTGGCAAGCAGTTCACGCCTACCTCGTTAAAACTATTTGTGTCAGCTTTAAGCCCACGTAAGGTAATTACCGCGTCATCACAGTGCCCTACATATGCCCTTTCGCAACAATATCTGCCCTCACAACAGTCGTATATCGTTTTATATACCTTTACTCTATTATCATTCTCCTATCTGCCTTACCATTATAACTCAACTACCATCACATACCATCTGTCCTTTCAACCTAATCACCCTCACACCACACATACCCCAATCCACCCATATGTCCTTACCCCCCCCCACGTCCTAATCAATCTATTTGCCTAACATCACGGCGTCCATTTAAAGATGGCGTCCATGTCCCCGGACGCCTGGGCTGCTCCAATATTTTCTACACTGGACTTCACCTTGACCTTGACCCCTCTAGGCCACGCAGGAGGTGTTCACATTATAGAGGGTGGGCGAGGTTGGGGTGGGGGCTAAAGTTTTTGGGTTGATGAACTCTGTCAAGGAAATTAAAGCTTTAGATATGACGTTGTTTTAACACCCCCCTCCTGTACATGATATGCCCTTCTGTTACCCCCCCCCCCCCTTTGCTTGTACACATTATGTCTTAGTGTAAACTACCCTCCGCTTGTACACATTATGTCCTAGCGTAACCCCCCCCCCTTTGCTTGTACACATTTTGTCCTTGTGTAACCCCTTCCTCCCTCTTGTATAAATTTTCCCTTCTGTTTACTCCGCCTGAGTGGATTAATTGGAGGATTATTCATCTCTGGAGGTGAGCGAGGATTATTTATCTCGCTGGAAATGCTGAGGTTAAAATGTTGATTTAACGTAACGCCTTTTCTCTCCATGTAAATAGGATCAGGAGAAGGAATTCTCTCACCACCGATGGATGCTGGGCGTGTGTGTGTGTGTGGGGGGGGGGGGGGAGTTTTTAATTAGAGAATTGCGTCTAAATCTCAATACAGCTGATGAGTTTTCTTTTTTTTTTTACTCTGGAAATTTTGTTGGGGATTTTGTTGGGGATTTTGTTGGGGATTTTGTTGGGGATTTTGTCGGGGATTTTGTTAGATATTTAGTTAGAGATTTTGTTAAAAATTATGTAGGTCATTTTCTTGGAGATTTCTTTGAAATTTCGGAGGACATTTGTTTGATAGGTTATAACATTTTATTGAAGGTTTTGTAAGACTTTTTGTAGTGTAGAACATTTAGTTTTACATTTTATCGATGGCTTGTAGTGCATTATGTAGGGGCCAAGTTTGACGAGCAGGGTTCGATCATTACTGTTGATATGGATCGGTCGTAAAAAAAATCCTACAGGAATTCATGAATTTAATATTTTTAAAATCAACTAGACTACCCGTTATCCTTGGATAATAGTGTTTTTCGGGGTTCATAAATTAAGATAAATTTATTGTATATTCAAATTAGAAGAACTGCCAAGAATATTGTATTGAAAATTTATAATAGTGTTGGAGCCTAATAAAAATAGCAAACTGAAGTGTCGATAAAGCTAAAGCCGACAGAAAATTTAGCTTTATAATGCGTAAAAATTTTGAATGGGCAACATGGTTTACCACGGAAGCCGCTATGTTTGTTGTGAAAATAAGTAAATAAGGTATTTGTTCTGAACTTGTATAATTAAAAGGGTGTTTTGTAATGGAATATATAAATAATTTAATTATCTTATTGAAATAACTTTGTAAATAATATTTTGAGAAAAAAAGAACTTTATTCTCTACGTAAATACGTAACTTACACTTTTACACATAATGCAGATGCTCTCATGTAACGAACAGACAAACAATATAATATATATATATATATATATATATATATATATATATATATATATATATATATATATATATATATATATATATATATATATATATATATATATATAATCCAGAGAAAGGCTACATTTCTATTTATTTTCATCAAGATTAACTTATAACCTAAAGTTTCACTTACGTAAGACAAACACCAAATACATCTTTAGTAAAGTCCAACTTAAACCCCTCAATAAAGTTTATATAACCACATTTATTTTTACAATACACCACACGATTTTCAAATTATTTTATACACCATTCGAAAAAATTCGCGACTATTCACAACTGTGTCCTTTAGAGGTGAAAAAGATGTCCTATTAGAAGTCATGAAAAGTGTCTTAATTACAGGTGTTAAATGTCCTAATTAGAAGTCATGAACATGTTCTAATTAGAGGTGTTAAATTTCCTAATTAGAAGTCATGAACATGTCCTAATTAGAGGTGTTAAATGTCCTAATTAGAAGTCATGAACATGTCCTAATTAGAAGTGTTAAATGTCCTAATTAGAAGTCATGAACATGTTCTAATTAGAGGTGTTAAATTTCCTAATTAGAAGTCATGAACATGTCCTAATTAGAGGTGTTAAATGTCCTAATTAGAAGTCATGAACATGTCCTAATTAGAAGTGTTAAATGTCCTAATTAGAAGTCATGAAAGTGTCCTAATTAGAGGTGTTAAATGTCCTAATTAGAAGTCATGAACATGTCCTAATTAGAGGTGTTAAATGTACTAATTAGAAGTCATGAAAGTGTCCTAATTAGAGGTGTTAAATGTCCTAATTAGAAGTCATGAACATGTCCTAATTAGAGGTGTTAAATGTCCTAATTAGAAGTCATGAAAGAGTCCTAATTAGAGGTGTTAAAATGAGGTGTAAAATAAAGTGCTATAGAGAGTCTAAATCTAAGATTTCTATTATATCTATGTAGTGTATTCTTGAGTTTTAAATTCGGGCATTAATTTTATCTGAAATGTTATGCATTCATCTAAAGATTTTAATGGCCCTGCCATTAATGGAACTTCCTGGTCCCGCAGCTTTGCTTGTCTCCTGTATTTGATTTCTCTGGAATTTTTGTCTCAGACACTTATGTAAATGGCAGACGTGAGTAATTTAGCCAAACTGGATTGGAAAGTTAACCAAGGCCGAAAATAGTGGTCGCACGGCCGCTGCCTGTTTTCATTTGCCCATACAACCTTGCGCAGCATGACACCGGAAATGACATCCCGATGAACTGGCGACATCCATCATTTCTGGACATCGTACCATTTCCGTTATCTGACAGTTTGACGCATAGCCCAAGGAAAGCAATCGCGTTATCTCCCCTCTCCTCCAGCCCAAATTAGGCTCGCCCATTAAGACGAACACCCCCACGAATGGTAGCGTTCAAATCTTGCCTTGATATAATTACCGGCTGCAATCGTTGAACACGGTCTAGAATATTGTAGATGTCATAGACAGGCCTCGGGATGTGGGTGGTTTTGTTCCACTCTGAAGGTGGTTTTTGTTACAGCCAGAAGAGTGGTTTTTGGACCTGACTAGGGTGTTTTTGAAATTAAACCTTAGGGTGCTTGTTTTAACCGAACTCTATGGTGGTTTTTATACAGTAGTGCGATTGTCCTCTATAACTAAAATGTTTCACTGTCTATGGAACTGAGGCATCCATAAAACTCATAAAACTGGTGGATAAATACAAAAGTAATGAAAAGTCTATGTAATAATACTAATTTAAAAAAATCTTTTTAAAAATATGGCAAGCGATAAAATTATAGTTACATTTTAAAACCTTAAAGCTTTTTGGGAACCATCGATTACACTCATTTTCATATTTTGTATTGAATATAAGCGGTTGAAAAGCCGTTTAGAATTATTTTATCAGTTCAAATAATTTGTTGAAAAATATGCTTTCTGGCATCAAAAATTTGGAACCAGCTTTTCGTGCCTATTGTGACATCCAAACAACTTTTGAACTCATACAACTGGTGGATCAATAATTATGAAATCAATAAAAAATAAAATTAGATTTCTAAATAAAGCAACTGTGAGGGAGGATTTCAAGGGCCTGTACAGGAGTTAACACGTCATTGAAGTGATACAGCGTGTGTTTAATCGATTTCATCTTATTCCATCTTGCTTAAAGTATACACTACGTACACCATCTGACCACCCCATAGACCACTCTCACCTACTCTTTTCAACACCCACACCATCACACCCCACTCCATGCAAAACCCACCCAACCCCACTCCAAGCAACACCCCAACTTACCCACTCCACTCAACACGCAACCCAATCCACGCAACATCCACTCCACTCTACACCCACACCACACCACTCCACCCCACTCCACCCCACTCCACTCCACCCCACTCCACTCACCCCACTCCACTCCACTCCACTCTACACCCACACCACTCCACTCCACTCCACTCCACTCCACTCCACTGTACACCCACTCCACTCCACCCCACTCCACTCCACTCCACTCTACACCCACCCCACTCCACTCCACTCCACTCCACCCCACTCCACCCCACTCCACTCTACACCCACACCACTCCACCCCACTCCACTCTACACCCACACCACTCCACCCCACTCCACTCCACTCCACTCCACTCTACACCCACCCCACTCCACTCCACTCCACTCCACCCCACTCCACGCAAACCCCACACCACTCCACTTCACTCCTCACCCACCCCACCCCACTCCATTGAACACTTAAACCAACCCAACCCACTCCACTCAACACCCACCCCACTCCATTGAACACCCACACCACCCACTCCACCCCACTCCACGCAGCACAGTCGCTTCCTCTTTCACTCCGTACAGCATAAACATTAACATCAAAATACACATCAGCATACCTGGACATCACATGACCTAACTGTACAACTAACACGCGACACACACTACTACAATACAATGTTCCACACACGTTCCACACACTTCTACAATACAATGTCCCCTACACACTTTTTACACAATTCACCTCACCACAACAGCATGATGTTCAGATGCGCCGTTGTGGGCGATCTAGAATTTGGTGTACGACTGGCACTGAGGTGAAGAGAACATGAGTACATTGGTATCGACATCATATGAGTACATTGGTATCGACATCATATAAGTACATTGGTATCGACATCATATGAGTACATTGGTATTGACATCATATAAGTACATTGGTATCGACATCATATGAGTACATTGGTATTGACATCATATAAGTATATTGGTATCGACATCATATGAGTACATTGGTATCGACATCATATGAGTATATTGGTATTGACATCATATGAGTACATTGGTATCGACATCATATGAGTACATTGGTATCGACATCATATGAGTATATTGGTATCGACATCATATGAGTACATTTGTATCGACATCATATGAGTATATTGGTATCGACATCATATGAGTATATTGGTAACAACATTATATGAGTACATTGGTATCGACATCATATGAGTACATTGGTATCGACATCAAATAAGTATATTGGTATCGACATCATATGAGTATATTGGTCTCGACATCATATGAGTATATTGGTCTCGACATCATATGAGTATATTGGTCTCGACATCATATGAGTATATTGGTCTCGACATAACATGAGTATATTGGTATCGACATAACATGAGTATATTGGTATCGACATTGCATAAATATAATTCAGTATCGCCAACAGAAAACCTGTATTTATAGTAAACATCTCTAAGTTTTTCATAAAAAAAATTGTTATGGTGTTTTGAAGCTTACATCAACAGCCCCATAATTCTGCGATATAATTCAATTATTGCTGGGGTTTGTTTGGCACCAGGTAGATACACGTCCCAACAAAACAACCCTCACTTAACTCGACCCCCCCCCCTCAAACCATATAATCCCCCCCCCCTCACTTAACTCGCCCCCCCTCAAACCATATAATCCCCCCCCCCTCACTTAACTCCCCCCCCCCTCAAACCATATACCCCCCCCCCTCAAACCATATAATCCCCCCCCCCCCAAAAAAAAAACAGAAAGAACGTAAATCCAGTTTCTTTAGACCTGACAAAAATATGAACCGATTTAACAATTGTACCGGTTGACCTCTCTGAAGCAGAACCACTGGACAAATTTTGATGAATAAAATTGACAACTAGACGTCTGCTCAAGATCACCATGGCAACAAGCTAATAAACAAAAAACGGAGACAAATTGCTCGGATACAATTTGAAAATTTAGCTGTTCGAAAGGTCGAAAGGTCAAGACAATTTAAGCTGTCAAATATTTGTTTTTAAATCTTCATGAGATAAACAGTTTTTCTGAAGTTGTCAAATATTTGTTTTTAAATCTTCATGAGAATATTCCTGGTCGTAGTTTGACTAAGATAACTAGAAGGCGTTGAACTGAAATCATAGAGTTTTAAGGATATTTAGACAAACAATATATCCTTATCAGTCCCAATATAATGCCCTAACTGTATGATGCCCTTCCTATATAGTAGTCTCCCTATAGAATGCCCTCTGTTAGAGAACTTTTAAAAAAAATTCAAGCATTTATATAATTTTTCCATATAAAGTATTTCCAAGTTACAATACCCAACATCTTTCTTTATCCATACATCATTAACCTTTGTCTTTTCAGCCCCATTCAACCAACATCAGTCATCCAACATCAGTACACCATCACCAGTCGTCCATCACCAGTCGTCCATCACCAGTCGTCCATCATCAGTCGTCCATCATCAGTCGTCCAGCCGCCCAGCATCAGACGGCCAAGAGATCTAACAAGACAGTACCATGATGGCTAACGGGGTTTCCCGTTACGAGACGACAACCTTCGCCGGAGCTTCACTCTTGGCGGGCCTGGGTTCGAACCCCGGCGACCCAGGGGAGGACGTCACCCCCACGGGTGGGCGTGACGTCATGACGGACTCGCTGCTGGACGTGGACTACGACGAGGTCGGAAACATGAGCAGCGAGGCCTGGTTTAGGTACTCATGTGCCAAGATGGAGGTGAGGGCTTCACGTGACCTTGACACTAGCGACCTTCACATACGTGACCTTCACACTGACGACCTTAACATACGTGACCTTGACACATGCGACCTTCACATGTGACATTGGCACTGACAACCTTCATATACGTGACCTTGTCACCGGCAACCTTCAAATACGTGACCTTGACACTCGTAACTACAACATATGTGACCTTGAAACAGGCGACCTTCACATACGTGACCTTGATACTCCCGACCTTCTCATACGAGACATTGGTAAGCTGCTCGTGGTCGAGCAACAGCGCACGATTGCCAATCTGAATGTCTCGAGTTCGGCTGATGGGCTCCAGTGCGTATGACGTAATGGATCCTCCCCCCCCCCCCCCCCCCCAGCTCTGTTGGGTACCTGGCTACAGTTGGTGAAAGTAAGACTGATTAGACAAAGTGCTAATTGCACTGTCTCTCCATTGACTGAGGTCAGATAAACTGATCAAATCTACTGCATCTGCTCCGTGGGAATTTTGGCCTGAAAATGAAATGTTTCCTAGTTAGAGCCCACAACTAAAGCTTCAACTCCATTCACAACAATTGTGACCTTGACAATAGTGACCTTGACCTCGATAACCCTGAGAGACATTCCCGCCTCTGATTTAATTAACACCACTGTTAACGGCACTAATCTATGCTAAAATATGCATATGTGATGTTCAGTATGTGTTTGTGACATTCTCTAGCCAGTCACGCATGTTAGATGGCAGTGACAGCTGTCAGTGACAGATGGTGTTGACTGGAGTGATGTAACTTGTTTATAACCTGACCTACCTAGGCATGACTTGTCTGGGTTAAGATCGTCTAGACATGTTCACACCTTACACCATGTTAATGTCCATCTTTTGTCAAATTGGAACGTCAATGTCCACCTTTTGTCCACCTAGAAAGTTAATGTCCACCTTTTGTCCACCCACAAAGTAAATGTCCACCTTTTGTCCACCCACAAAGTAAATGTCCACCTTTTGTCCACCCATAAAGTAAATGTCCACATTTTGTCCACCCATAAAGTTAATGTCCACCTTTTGTCCACCCAGAAACCCAACGGGTTCCTGAAGAGCATCCTGGAGCCAACCATCTGCTGCTGTGGCATCCTTGGCATCACGCTGACCATGATAGTGCTCAGCCGCAAGACCATGTGCACGTCCACCAACTGCTACCTGACGGCCTTGGCCGTGGCTGACCTGCTCTTCCTGCTCATTCTCTCCTCCCGCATCCTGGTCGAGATGTTAGCAGACTGCCACTTCTATCAGGGGAGCGAGAACGCCATCTTCATAGAGTACTCAAGTAAGGGAGGATTCGAACCCTAGCCCTTGTTTTTTATTACACTGATGTTACTGACAAACTAAAGGGGGGATTCGAACCCTAGCCTTGTTTTTTTATAGCAATTAAGTTACTGACAAACTAATGGAGGATTCGAACCCTAGTCCTTGTGTTTTTATAGCACTGATGTTACTGACAAACTATAGGGAAGATTTAGTTTTTGTCAAATCAACATAGTAGAGTGTCTAACTCTTGGTATGATATTGCCCTGCCCTTAAAACTACAAATCACTCTAGTAAACTTCAGTAAACAAGCAGAACGTCATTTTATTTAGACCACTAGAATTTAGCACGTTTTAAACAGAAGTATCACAGCTCATTGCTCTTCAAAAATAACGCATGGAGCTCATAATACAAGCGTACAAATTTTGATGTTAAAGCTACATTATATAGCTAACACATTTCGACATAAAGCTTACATATTTCGACATACCACTTCATTTCTAAGTTTACACAGATTGTTGGGTGTGAGAATTCAATTAATTAAACTTAGTTTCTGCTTACAGAATAAAATACATGATCAGATTACAAAGTAATAGAAAGAAAAGTTAGTTGAACGATGGCAAATGAAACTACGGCAATATATCGAGTGGCAATGTGGCTAGTGCGTATAGTTTACTTTCCCATCATTTTGGCTAGATTTGCTGTAAATAATACATCGAGGTATTCATCGTGTGTATGACGAACTCAGGCAGACAAGTGCAGAAAGATAAATACGGACAGATTTTGATTGACTTAATCCCCCCCCTCCCCCCCCCCCCCCCCCCGGGGGTCGGTGATATCCCAATGATTTTCTTAAGTGGAAAAGTGTTCGATTTCTCAGTTTCCCATTAGGCTTATCATTCCACCTTGTACGCCCCACCCCTCCCCCGCTAGGCTGGGGTTTTCCCTGTACAGTGTCTCTTCCAAGCATTTCTTCGGGGAGTGGGGGGGGGGGGGGGGGGCTACGTCCCCCTCCCCCCGAACGAAATGGAAATTTATATAGAATATATATACTTTTACCAGTGTTCACCCCCTCCGAAAAATCGCGACCCCGAAAATATCAATTGCCCCCCACCCCCCGGAGAAAAAACTCTGGAAGAAACACAGTCCCTGTATTTCATCACAGCACCTTGTTTCTTTTAATGCCAGCTACCCACACTATCTACCCTCCTGTCTCTCACAGTTATCATCTTCAGTTACCACACCCCACCCACACACCCACCCTGCCTCTAACATGTGCCTCACCTCACATCATCCCCCCCCATTACACCCCTGCCCCTACCATGTTTCCTCCCCCCCCCATTACACCCCCTCCCCTACCATGTTTCCTCTCCCCCCATCATTACACCCCTGCCCCTACCATGTTTCCGCTCCCCCCTATTACACCCCAGCACCAACCATGTTTCCTCTCTCCCCCCACATCACCCCCCCATTACACCCCTGCCCCTACCATGTTTCCTCTCCCCCCCCCCCCCATTACACCCCAGCCCCAACCATGTTTCCCCTCTCCCCCCACATCACCCCCCCCCCATTACACCCCTGCCCCTACCATGTTTCCTCCCCCCCCCCCATTACACCCCAGCCCCAACCATGTTTCCCCTCTCCCCCCACATCACCCCCCCCCCATTACACCCCTGCCCCTACCATGTTTCCTCTCCCCCCCCATTACACCCCAGCTCCAACCATGTTTCCTCTCTCCCCCCACATCACCCCCCCCCCATTACACCCCTGCCCCTACCATGTTTCCTCTCCCCCCCCCATTACACCCCAGCCCCAACCATGTTTCCCCTCTCCCCTCACATCCCCCCCATTACACCCCTGCCCCTACCATGTTTCCTCTCCCCCCCCCACATCAATCACCCTCCCCCATTACACCCCCGCCCCTACCATGTTTCCTCTCCCCCCCATTACACCCCCGCCCCAACCATGTTACCCCTCTCCCCCAACAGCACCCCCCCCCATTACACCCCCGCCCCTACCATGTATCCTCCCCCCTTACACCCCCGCCCCTACCATGTTTCCTCTCCCCCCCATTACACCCCCGCCCCTACCATGTTTCCTCTCCCCCCCCCCATTACACCCCTGCCCCAACCATGTTTCCTCTCTCCCCCCCACCCCCTCCATTACACCCCCGCCCCTACCATGTTTCCTCTCCCCCCCCCATTACACCCCTGCCCCAACCATGTTTCCTCTCTCCCCCCCACCACCCCCCCCCATTACACCCCCGCCCCTACCATGTTTCCTCTCCCCCCCCCCATTACACCCCCGCCCCTACCATGTTTCCTCTCTCCCCTCACATCACCCTCCCCATTACACCCCCGCCCCTACCAAGTTTCCTCTCTCCCCTCACATCACCCTCCCCATTACACCCCCACCCCTACCATGTTTCCTCTCTCCCCCCAGTTATCTTCATGGACATCTTCCAGTATCTGACAGTGGGCGTGACCGTGATGTTGGCCATAGAGCGCTACATCGCCATTTGCCATCCCATGAGAGCTATGAACATTTGTACGGTAGGTCGTTAGAGTCATGTTTCATCTTTTTGTACAAGTTGATACTTTTCTTTGATGAATCTAGTCTAGAATGGTACGCAATAAGCATGTGGATCAAGATATCTAGACTAGATTCTAGACGAAGACAAAAGATGTAGATCTGTGCTGATGTTTTGTGAGACACCTGTCCCTGTCACGACCTTGACCTACCTTCTGCAGGTGAAGCGTGCCCGGATCATCATCTGTGTCCTAACCTTCGTGGCCTTCGTCCTGAGGTCGCCCAAGTTCTTTGAGTTGAGGTACAGCTACACGCCACTCACTAACGGCGAGACAAAGCTCGTCGTCTCCTGGGTCTACGTCTATGATGACAGGGCCTACACTTACATCGTCACTGGTAAGTAGCAACGTCAACGTATGTACGGACGTTAGTCGTTGGTGGGACGTCAGTCGTTGGTGGGACGTCAGTTGTTGGTATGGACGTCAGTTGTTGGTGGGACATCAGTTGTTGGTGTGGACGTCAATTACTAATGGGACGTCAGTTGTTAGGGTGGACGTCAGTAAGTAAGTATGGACGTCTGTTGATAGTGGGAGTCAGTCGTTAGTGGGACGTCAGCCGTTAGTAGGACGACAGTAGTAAGTGGGACGTACACTGTTAAACAGTTAAACAACCTACTCATCAGCAAATGCTACTCTTTTCCGTGAAAACAACTGAGATGGCAGACAAAATGTTTCCTGTGAGATCCAATTTGCCATAAGACACAAAATACTTGCTGCACGACAAATGTACTCTAGGTTAGACATATTTACAGTCAGCCCCCCCCCCCCCCACACACATTCTCTCAGAAACAAGTGCGCCCTCCACAATGCCTCGGTTTATCAAAGACAGATGACGGTATCATGTGACACAGCACATCAAAGCTATGACGCAAAGTGGTCACATGATCAGGTTGAGAGATTGTGTACGTTGTCAGGTCGGTCTGACCTCATAGGTGGGCCTAACTTCCTTCTAGCCAAGAATTGAAATGAAAGGTCTCTGATTTCTGGATAAAGTTCAAGGTCAGGTCACGGCCTTGTCTAACATAGGGGTGTCTAGCCCGTGGTTAAATTAAGGCTTTTAGGGGTGTCTAGCCTGTGGTTAAATTAAGGCTTTTAGGGGTGTCTAGCCTGTGGTTAAATTAAGGCTTTTAGGGGTGTCTAGCCTGTGGTTAAATTAAGGCTTTTAGGGGTGTCTAGCCTGTGGTTAAATTAAGGCTTTTAGGGGTGTCTAGCCTGTGGTTAAATTAAGGCTTTTAGGGGTGTCTAGCCTGTGGTTAAATTAAGGCTTTTAGGGGTGTCTAGCCTGTGGTTAAATTAAGGCTTTTAGGGGTGTCTAGCCTGTGGTTAAATTAAGGCTTTTAGGGGTGTCTATTTCATATTTGCTCTGATTAAAACCATTAATACTACTTAACTCTTAACCCTGTCTCCCTGATCCTTGACCCCTGTCCCCTAACTCTTACCCTTATTGACATTACGTTATTTTATGAATGTGGTTTATACTATAAACCTTAACAAACACAATAAAACCCTGAAATGTTCCATTTGGTTTTGAACTCGTAAAATAGCTTGTAGAGTCTGATTTGAACTGGTAAAATAGCTTGTATAGTCTGACATTAAATCTTTGTTTGACCTTCCATACTTGTGTTGCAGGTGCCAATTAGCATACAAGAAGTTTTCTATCGGCAGGCGTGATCATGACGTCATTGTATTTTATCGGCAGGTGTGATCATGACGTCATTGTATTTTATCGGCAGGTGTGATCATGACGTCATAGTTTTCTGTCAACAGGTGTGATCATGACGTCATTGTTTTCTATTGGCAGGTGTGATCATGACGTCATTGTTTTCTATCGGCAGGTGTGATCATGACGTCATTGTTTTCTGTCGGCAGGTGTGATCATGACGTCATTGTTTTCTATCGGCAGGTGTGATCATGACGTCATTGTTTTCTGTCGGCAGGTGTGATCATGACGTCATTGTTTTCTATCGGCAGGTGTGATCATGACGTCATTGTTTTCTGTCAACAGGTGTGATCATGACGTCATTGTTTTCTATCGGCAGGTGTGATCATGACGATCCTACCTTTGTGCACCTTGATGGCACTGAACATCCGTCTGATCCTGGAGATCCGGCGCTCCTCCAGGTACCTGCAGTACCACCTGGGTGGGGACCTGAGGGTCAGGTCAGTCGTGTCCAGGGAGGAGCTAAAGATCACCATGATGCTGGTCAGCGTCATCATCGCTTTCTTCGTCTGCCACACGCCCTACATGGTCTACAGGTCAGTAGGTCATTAGGTCATTAGGTTTATAGGTCAGTAGGTCAGCGTCGCTTTCTTCATCTGCCACACACCCTACATGGTTTACAGGTCAGTAGGACATTAGGTTTATAGGTCAGTAGGTCAGCGTCGCTTTCTTCGTCTGCCACTCGCCTTACATGGTCTACAGGTCAGTAGGTCATCATGTCATACTTCCTACATGCTGTACAGGTCATTAGGTCAAGTTCACAGGTCCTTATCCTTTACCTAAGATAATCTACAAGTTAGTAGGTCCTTACGCCTAAAGGTCAGTAGGTCTTTAGATCACAAGTTAAATCTGTAGTCTGTAGGTCCCCTTGAAAAATGAATTTAATACCTGGATACAGTTTGGAATTAAGATACTCGTCTATTTATAACTGACCACAGGTTTATAGCCTTTAATTTACAACTCCCTATATCTATATAACATTATTTTATAACCCCCGCAGCTTTATAACATTAATTTATAACCATTAATTTATAACCCCCGCAGCTTTTTAACATTAATTTATATCTTCCCCACAGCTTTATAACATCAATTTATAACCATCAATTTATAACTCCCCGCAGCTTTATAACATCAATTTATAACTCCCCACAGCTTTATAACAGCACTGAGCAGCTATGACCCCAAGGAGAACCCAAGTATGACGAATGAGTCGTCCTACAAGTGGTTCCGTAACGTCTGCCACTCTCTGCTGGCACTCAAGTCTTCCTGCAACTTTATCCTCTACTGCTGGTTCTCCGAGAAGTTCTGGGCCACCTTCAAGCGGACCTTCTGCCAGCAGTACTGCCTGCCCAAACAGGCGACCAATCAGATCAACGGTTACAACTACAGCCATCACTATCTGCATAGGCCGTCTTGTTACATCACCAAGGAGACGACGTGTTGATGGCCCAGTGACGTCACATAGTACTGGCTGTTGTTGAAGTTAGAAAAACAGCGCAGAGCTGAGCGTAAAATAAGATAAATACAGCGAAAAGAAATGGCGCAGTACTAGGCGAAAGTTCAGATACAAATGGCGCAGTACTAGGCGAAAGTTCAGATACAAATGGCGCAGTACTAGGCGAAAGTTCAGATACAAATGGCGCAGTACTAGGCGTAAGTTCAAATACAAATGGCGCAGTACTAGGCGAAAGTTCAGATACAAATGGCGCAGTACTAGGCGAAAGTTCAGATACAAATGGCGCAGTACTAGGCGAAAGTTCAGATACAAATGGCGCAGTACTAGGCGAAAGTTCAGATACAAATGGCGCAGTACTAGGCGTAAGTTCAAATACAAATGGCGCAGTACTAGGCGAAAGTTCAGATACAAATGGCGCAGTACTAGGCGAAAGTTCAGATACAAATGGCGCAGTACTAGGCGAAAGTTCAGATACAAATGGCGCAGTTCTAGGCGAAAGTTCAGATAAAAATGGCGCAGTACTAAGCGAAAGTTCAGATACAAATGGCGCTGTACTAGTTTAAAGTTCAGATACAAATGGTGAAGTACTAGGCGAAAGTTTAAATACAAATGGCGCAGTTCTAGGTGGCGCTTGTATTAAATAACAAAAAAATCTGACTCTATGGATTGAATGTAAATAGCCAGTTTTTTTCTCAAACAACCTTCAACTATAGGTGGACGTCTTTCTCTGGGGCCTTGAACTTGTGTTGTGAGTTAGATTCGGCTGAGGTCACATTCTACATATAAGGTGGACTAGTCCTTCTCTGGGGCTTATGTCATGAGTTAGATTCACCTGAGGTCAGACTCTACATGTGACGTGTTCTCACCGTGCTACCTGTTTTACCCTAGAGTCTAGGGCTACCTGAGGTCAGACTCTACATGTGCTACCTGTTTTACCCTAGAGTCTAGGGCTACCTGAGGTCAGACTCTACATGTGCTACTTGTTTTACCCTAGAGTCTAGGGCTACCTGAGGTCAGACTCTACATGTGCTACCTGTTTTACCCTAGAGTCTAGGGCTACCTGAGGTCAGACTCTGCATGTGCTACCTGTTTTACCCTAGAGTCTAGGGCTACCTGAGGTCAGACTCTACATGTGCTACCTGTTTTACCCTAGAGTCTAGGGCTACCTGAGGTCAGACTCTACATGTGCTACCTGTTTTACCCTAGAGTCTAGGGCTACCTGAGGTCAGACTCTACATGTGCTACCTGTTAAATCCTAGAGTCTAGGGCTACCTGAGGTCAGACTCTACATGTGCTACCTGTAACCCTAGAGTCTAGGGCTACCTGAGGTCAGACTCTACATGTGCTACCTGTAACCCTAGAGTCTAGGGCTACCTGAGGTCAGACTCTACATGTGCTACCTGTAACCCTAGAGTCTAGGGCTACCTGAGGTCAGACTCTACATGTGCTACCTGTAACCCTAGAGTCTAGGGCTACCTGAGGTCAGACTCTACATGTGCTACCTGTAACCCTAGAGTCTAGGGCTACCTGAGGTCAGACTCTACATGTGCTACCTATTTAACCCTAGAGTACCTGAGGCAGCCCGTGACCCGGGACCTGAGAATTTGGTTCCTTATTGACTGAGTAACTCAACGCTCCCCACTCCCCACACACGTGACACACTGTGAGGGTTGTGGGGGTGGGGGTGTGGTACCGGTCGTGGCAGCTGTCTAGGTTTGAATGGTGTCACGTGATTAGCTATACCCAACCCCAAACATTTATTACTGCCAGGGACAATCTTGATTTCCGTGTGTAGCTTAATACGATAATCATGATTTCGGTGTTTATTTTCATAACTCAATCGCGATTTCCGTGTTTAGCAGTAAAGGTATAAGACAGTCATTTTACCTTCCTTTGAAGAAAAACTATGTTCTTGTTTTATATAAACACAATTTACTGAATACTCTTACCTTATATAGTCAATATGTGAGAATTACGTCATGGCAACTGCTTTCAATACCGAGTGTAGACAAACCTTCAAATACTTTACAAATAGCCAATTGCTGCATTCACTTGAGACCATCAACAAGGCTGAAGAGCTTTAAAATCTCCACAGCCAATTCTACGTTCTGAACTCTTGTCAGTTCTGGTTGCTATGGTTACTACATGGCCTCTCATTGACACATCAGTTTCACTATGTGATGTGTGAACATAGAATATGTCACTCTTGGATCACTCCATGGGAATTGGGTCACGTGTCAACAACTGCTTAAAACCAGAGAGACAACTTTACACGCGTCAGACTAATGTGTTAAACTTATCAGTATTTAAACGTGTTTGATCAGTATTTCAATGTTTGTAACTGCATTATAAATGCAGGAGTTAATGTTTGTTGACATGGACTATTTGTCTCACTGAACTGAAGATAATTGTGTAATATATATTTTTTTATATTGACATGATGTATGTTTCATTGAACTGAAGACAATTATGTAATATATTATTTTTATATTGACAAGATGTATGTTTCATTGAACAAATTGATTAATTAATTACATCTAATTGTTAACGTTTAAATATATAACATAACATGATTTCATGTGTAATAATGCATTCAAATGTTTTTGAAAATGTATGTAATTTATTAATAACCTTTTGATATGCGAAGACATGGTTCAATAGTAGAGCGGATGACAGCTAACACCAAAGTCTAGAGTTCAAATCCCTAACTCGAGTTCACAGGACGTTAGTGAGTCCACCCAGCTAAAATGGGTACCTGACTCACTGAGTTCACCCAGCTAAAATGGGTACCTGACTCACCGAGTCCACCCAGCTAAAATGGGTACCTGACTCACTGAGTCCACCCAGCTAAAATGGGTACCTGACTCACCGAGTCCACCCAGCTAAAATGGGTACCTGACTCACCGAGTCCACCCAGCTAAAATGGGTACCTGACTCACCGAGTCCACCCAGCTAAAATGGGTACCGGAATCACATTAGGGAAAGAAGATGTGACTGGTCTTTATGCTGACCACACTATGCGTTTATATGGCAGGCTAGGTCAGAGAAACACGTGAACTCTACTTCATCCGCCCCTATGGACCATCAGGTTTGAAAGGGTATCCATACTTTACCCTTGATAGTGGGATTAAATTGCGTGTTTGCACTGAACATTTGATGTTGTTGTAAAAATTTTGTGATTGCCAATGGATATTGATATTGTTGTAAAATATTCTGGCTCTATTTTTGTTGTGAATAAAAAGTATTTAATAACTTTTACAATTTTTTAGCATCTAAATAATTCTAAACATTTTTACACGATTTTTAAAAATTTTCTTGTTACATGAAGACATTTTTGACAAGGTTTCTATTTTCATTTTTGTTTACGAAATACCTGGTATAGAGGCTATGAGATAGTAGAAGTTTGAAGCTGAATGTCTACAATTGAAGAAAATTATACCTGGTTTGTTGTCTGATCCCAGTCTACACTTGTCTGAAACACCCTCTGATATGAGGCACTGTGACGACGCAAGATTACGTCAGACATGTTTAGCAGATATAGGTTAGCAGAAACAGACTATAGGCCTAGTTGGTTGGTTAGAGAGGCCAATGGGCGCACAGGGCTGACCGGTCACGTGGGACGGTCAGCTGACCACTGAGGCGTGGGTCAGTAGAGAGATAGGCCGGCAGTTGTTAGGTAGCGGCCGAGAATGTGGATAGTTAGGAGATGATGATTAGCTAGCGAAGGTAGAAGGTGTTAGGAAGCGGTCAGAGACGGTCGTAATATGTAGAATGTAGAGAACAGTTAGTGTTAGGATTGGTCATGGGAGTGCGTAGTAGTAGGTAGCATGTGGTATGAACAGTCAGTAGTAGAAGTAAATAGTACAGTGTAGATCAGCTAGGTAGAAACTTGAACATATATATCATTTTAATAAAGAACAATTATAGTTGAACTTGAACTGTGTGTTATTGGATTCATTCGTTCCGCATCTTAAAAAAACACCCGTACCCTCACAACTGGCGGAGCTCGGGACGAACCGCAGATCGACGACGGGAAAGAACGTATATCGGTTTACTCATGACGGAGTACGACTGGTGTACTGCTTTCTCTAACTCATCACAACAGCGGGTTCCTTCAGCCGGAACGAGTTTGGATTAACAACACAAGGGAACTGTCACCATGTTCACAAAGATAAGTACCTTCCAAAATTTTTTTTTAAACGTTAGGGTTTAGAGCCGTGCTGGATAGCTTGTGCCAGCGGTTTTTCTGCCTTATACATTCTTATGTTACGCCCTGTTGCCTTAGTTTTGTTGACTTTCCTCTACACACACACATACACATACACAACCATGGAGGCAGAGTTTCAATGCTATAAACAGGGCATACCATTAGACAAGAAAGAAGAAGAATTTGAAACATCTTTAGAGAGTAGGTTAGAAAACAAGATAGTCAAGATAGTAAGAAATGTCAAGAACAAAAGCAGAGTTAGCGTTACAACTAGTGAATCGGAGAAACAAATAGATAACACGCAACTGCCCTAGAACATCAACCCCATGACCAAGAATGTGACCCGGACCGCCTCCATAAATGATTTTGAACAACGGACATAATTGTGAAGTCAAGTCGAGTATTTTTGTGTTAATCTAAGTAGTCGAAAAAATCGGCGTGAAGTCGATATAGTTGAAGTCGAAGTCAGTGTAGTCAATCTGAAGTCAATAGTGTTATTGAAGTCAGTGAAGTATAAGTCAGAACTGAAGTCAAAGAAGTTATTTGAAGTCAGTCAAGTCAGTCAATAAGTTGTTGAAGTCGTAGTTGAGGTCATAAGTGACGTAGTTGAAGTCATGTTGCAGTCAAAGAAAAGTCTTTGACGTTATAATAAAGTCGTTGAGGTCATAGTGAAGAAGTGAAATCGTCGAAGTTATAGTGAAGTCTTTGAAGTCAAAGTGATGTCGTTGAAGTCTTTGAAGTCATATTGAAGTTGTTGAAGTCAAAGTGAAGTCTTTGAAGTCATATTGAAGTTGTTGAAGTCAAAGTGAAGTCTTTGAAGTCATATTGAAGTCGTTGAAGTCAAAGTTAAAGTCTTTGAAGTCATATTGAAATTGTTGAAGTCAAAGTGAAGTCTTTGAAGTCATATTGAAGTCTTTGAAGTCAAAGTGAAGACGTTTAAGTCGTCGAAGTTTAAGTCGGTCAGTGAAGTCTTTTAAGTTGAATTGAAGTGAAGTCGTCGAGGTCAAGTTAGTCTTCAAAGTGAAGTTAGTCGTCAAGTTGAAGTCGTCAAAGTGGAATCAGTCGTTAAAGTGAAATTAGTCGTCAAAGTGATGTCGTCGAAGTCAGTCAGAGAGGTCTAATTAAGTCAGTCGTCAAAGGAAATCAGTCGTTAAAGTGAAGTCAGTCGTTAAATTGAAGTCAGTCAAGTTACTGAAGTCAAAGTGAAATTAGTCAAAGTTACTGAAGTCAGTCAAGTTACTGAAGTCATAAGTGAAGTCAGTCATTAAGTCAAGCAAGC